GTGGTGCCACAGGGAAGACAGGCAAAATAGGGAAAGGAGAAGTTTGTACCTAAAAGAATGTGAGGCTTGATCCTCACATAAGGATAAAGACAGATAAGATATAAGATAAATAAGAAAGCAACGTACACCATAGGGAATATAAGTAATAATAAAGTTACAACTTTGTATGGTGACAGATGGTAGCTACATTTATGGTGATCACTTCCTTTTTTTTTATATATGTGTGTATGTGTATATATATATATATTTTATATTATTTATTTATTTATTTATTTATTCATAAGAGACACAGAGAAAGAGGTAGAGACACGGAGGAAGAAGCAGGCTCCATGCAGGGAGCCCAATGCAGGACTCAATCCCCGGGCCCCAGGATCACGCCCTGAGCTGAAGGCAGACACTTAACTGCTGAGCCACCCAGGCGTCCCGTCCCTGGTGATCCCTTCCTAATGCATATAAATGTTGAATCACAATGTACACCTGAAAATAATATTGTATAACAACTGTACTCCAATAGTAAAAAAATGAATTCATTATCAAAGAAAACTACAGGTTCAACGGTTACACTGGTGAATTCTATCAACAATCAAGGAAAGAATAAAAGCACTCATATACAAATTTTTTGCTTTTTTAGAAAGTAAAGAAGAGAACACTTCTCAATACATTTAAGAGGTCAGTGTAAACAAGCCTAACACCAAAACCTGAAAACAAAACTACAAATAAACCATGAGGCTGAAAAATTTAAAATACACTTCTAAATAAATATGAGACAACAAAAGCAAATAAAAACCTATAGAGTATGACCAAAGTGTTACTCATAACTGAGTTAGCTCCAGACTTCCAGGATGGCACAACATTTGACAATGTGTCATTGTAATTCACTACATTAACAGAAGAACATAGAGAAATTATGTTATCATCTCAATAAACAGCAAAGAAAGTCATGTGATATTCAACATTTAATATTAAGACAAAAATTCCTGACAAATCAAAACTAAAGAGAACTTTTTAAACTCAAACTAGTCCTACCAGAAAATTATAGTAAATATTAAACTTGATGGTAAAACTTTAGAAATAAACAGAATAATAAAGCAGAATTATACAAACTAGTATGGGGAGACACCAAAATGTATTTCTTTTTTTTTTAATTTTTTTTTATTTATTTATGATAGTCACAGAGAGAGAGAGAGAGAGAGAGAGGCAGAGACACAGGCAGAGGGAGAAGCAGGCTCCATGCAGGGAGCCCGACGTGGGACTTGATCCTGGGTCTCCAGGATCGCGCCCTGGGCCAAAGGCAGGCGCCAAACCGCTGCGCCACCCAGGGATCCCCAAAATATATTTCTGAATAAACAAAAGAAGTTGCAGATATTGACAGTAGTTTAAAAACACTCACACATATTTCTATGATTTTCTGTAGGAATATGCACAGGTATATAAATACATAGAAATAAGACTTGCAGAAAACCCATCAGTCTGATAACTTCTGAGGAAACCAGGTGAGGACCAGAATTGGTGTAAGCACAGGTCAAAGGGAGTGATTAAATGAGATTTTAGCCTTATTTACCATGTTTCTATTTGTTATTAGAAGAATGTTGTTTTTATGAATAACTTAGGTAATTAAAAAGTAATTTTAATACCATAAATTTAAGTTCAACATAATACTGGCCAGAACAATTAGAAAAGAAACAAATTAAGACATCCAAACTGGAAAAGAAGTAAAACTGTCACTATTTGCACATTACATATTATATACAGATAATACATCAAGAAAACCTTAAAGACTCTACCGAAAAACTGTTCTAATAAACTTGGTAATGTTACAGGGTACAAAATCGGTATATAAAAATCTGTTGTTTCTATATCCTAAAAATGAACTATCAGAAAGAAAAATTAAGAAAACAATCTCCTTTACAACTGCATCAAAAAGAATAAAATAGAAGGACATCTGGATACGTCAGTTGGTTAAATGTCTGACTCTTGATTTTGGCTCAAGTCATAATCTCTGATCATGAGATGGGGTGGCACATGGGGCTCCATGCTGATTGTGGAGCCTGCTTAAAATTCTATCTCTTCCTCCCGCACCCCAAAAAAGATTTTCTCTCTCCTTCTGCCTCTACTCTCCCTCTCTCTTTAAAATTAGAAAAAAAAAAAAGAAAAAGAAAAAAAAAGAATAAAATAAGTTGAAATAAAATTAACCCAGGAGGTGAAAGATCTATACCCTGAAAACTCTAAGACATTAACGAAAGAAAATGGAAGAAGCAGCAAGTATAGGAAAAGATATTCCCTGTTCAGGGACTGGAAGAACTAATACTGTTAAAATGCCCTTAGTACTCAAAGCAATCCACAGATTCAATGCAATTCCTTTCAAAAGTCTGATGGCATTTTTCACAAAAATAGAACAAGTAATCCTAAAATGCGTACAGAACCACAAAAGATCCCGAACAGCCAAAGCAATCTTCACAAAGATAAGCAAATCTAGAGGCATGCTCCTTGATTTGAGTATATTACAAAGCTACAGTAACCAAATAGTATAGTGTCAGTATAAACATAGATGATAAAGGGAAGAGAATACAGAGTCCAGAAATAAACCCACACTTACATGGTGAATTAACTTATGACAAAGGAGCCAAGAATATACAATGGGGAAAAGATAGCCCTTTCGACAAATGGTGGTGGAAAAAGTGGGCAGCCTTGGGCAAAAGAATGAAATTGGCCTACTATCTTATACTATACATGAGAACAAACTCAAAATGGATTAAAGACTTAAATTTAAGGCCTGAAATCATAAAACTCCTAGGTAATAAGGAAAATACAGGTGGTAAGCTCCTGCACATCAGCCTTGACAATAACTGTTTTGTTAATCTAACACCAAAAGCAAAGGCAGCAAAAGTAAAAATAAACAAATGGGACTACGTCAAAGTAAAAAGCTTCTGCACAGCAAAGGAAACCATCAACAAAATGAAAAGGCAACCTATGGAATGGAATAAAATATGTGCAAATCATATATCTGATAAGGGGTTAGTATCCAAAAAATATAGAGAAATCCTACAACTCAACAGAAAGAAAAAAAAAAAAAAAAAAGCAAAGACCACAATCCAATTTTTAAAAATTGGCAGAAGACTTGAGCAGAGAGAGGGCAGCCCGGGTGGCTCAGCAGTTTAGCGCTGCCTTCGGCCCAGGGCCTGATCCTGGAGTCCCAGGATCAAGTCCTGCATCAGGCTCCCTGCATGGAGGAGCTTCTCCCTCTGCCTGTGTCTCTGCCTCTCTCTCTCTCTCTCTGTCTCTCATGAATAAATAAAAATAAAATCTTAAAAAAAAAAACTTGAGTAGACATTTTTTTCCAAAGAAGATATACAATATGACCAACAGACAAATGAAAAGATACTCAACATCACTAATCTTCGGGGAAATTAAAATCAAAACCACAAGGAAATAACACCTCACACTTGTTAGAATGGGTATTCTGAAAAAGACAAGAAATAACAAGTGGGAAGTTCTCATGCACTGCTGGTGAGACTGTAAGTTAGTGCAGCTATTAGGAAAAACAGTATGGAGGTTCCTTAAAACATTAAAAAAAGAGAACTATCATATGATTCAGCAATTCTACAGCTGGGTATTTTTCCAAAGAAAATGAAAACACTTACTAGAAAAGATATATGCACCCCTATGTCCACTGCAGCAATATTTACAACAGCCATGACATGGAAACCATGGAAGTGTCCATCAATGGATGAATGGATAAAGAAACCAAAGTGTGTACATGTATATAGACACATACAATGGAATATTACTCAGCCATTAAAAAGAAAATCTTGCCATCTGGGACAATAGAGATAAAGCCTGAGGATATCATGCTAAGTGAAATAAGACAGAGAAAGACAAATACTATATAATTTCATCTATATGTGGAATCTAAAAAACAAAACAATATAAAACAAGCTCATAGAGAATAGATCGACAGTTGCCAGAGGTTGCCAGGGGCTGGAGAGTAGAGGATGGTTAGAAAATAAGAAAAAAAAGAAAAGAAGATCTGGGGATGTAATGTACAGTGTGGTGACTGTAGGTGACAATACTCTACCGTATATTTGAAAGTTGCTAAGAGAGATCTTAAAAGTCCAAGAAAAAGGGACGCCTGGGTGGCTCAGTGGTTGAGCATCTGCCTTCAGCTCAGGGCGTGATCCTGGGGTCCCGGGATCAAGTCCGGCATCAGGTTCTACATAGGGAGCCTGCTTCTCTCCCTCCGCCTGTGTCTCTGCCTCTGTGTGTCTCTCATGAATTGAAAAGAAAAAAAAAAATAGTCCAAGGGAAAAAAATGTAACCATGTATGGTGACCAATGTTAGATCTATTGTGATCATTTTGCAATATATACAAATATAGAATCATTAGTTGGACATGTAAAGCTAATATAATGTCGTAAGTCATTATGTATCAATCAATGAATAATAAATCAGGTCTACACAAAATGGTACTGGATGGACAACACAGATGATTACACTACATGATAAAAACTTTTAAAACACTAGAAATAAATACAAAAACTGCTTTAAAAAAAAGTATATTACCACAGCTAAGTATTCTACTAGTTCTTTTCGGTTCCTTTTAAGTGTAGAGACCATAAAATCACTTTCTTTGAATGCTGTTTATCAATGCATCCTGGAACTGAAGTGACTCCATTTAGCAAATCAGGTAAATCTGGGTGATGCCAATTTACCAAACACAAGCACCTGACCGCAGAGCCTCCAGAGTTTGCCGACATCCTTATACTATTATTTTGGAGTGAAACAGAGACTCTGGCAGATATTCTTTCCTTCCTTGCATTCCTCTTTTGGAATTGAACAAATTGGTCCTAAAGCTACCTGCCTTTACCTGGATTTTCACTAGGTCTCACCTGTTCATTTTTAGACTTCTGTTTAGGATTTCACCTTCACTCTCTCAGGCAAAGTCTAGGAGAGCATTTGGCGGCCTGAGGAGAGGGCACCGACACACGTTAATGAACACTTACTGATTTGCAGGTAGTTGGAGGTTCTTGTAGCCGGCGTCCCGGAGCCGAGCGTCTGTCCTAAGTGGGTGTGCGAGCAAGTCCACGAGCGAACGGACAAAGGAAAGGCGGACGCCTCCACCTCCGACTCCGCCGATTCGGCCCGCGCGGCAACAGGGGCCGGCCCGGAGCCCGCCGCAGCGGCACCCGGAGAGCGAGCCCCGCCGCCCCGGAGCAGCGCGCTCCCGGCGGAGGCCAGGAGGGGCGGGACGGCGTGGCCTCCGCTCCTCCCCGGGCCGGGGCGGGCCCGAGGCCGCGGCCCTCCTCCCCGCGCTGGCCTCGTCACTGCGCCGCGGGACCGCCATGCCCGGCCGCCTGCTGCGGGGCCTGTGGCAGCGATGGCGCCGTTACAAGTACCGCTTCGTTCCCTGGATCGCGCTGAACCTAAACCACAACCCCAGGTGAGAGGGCGAGACCGGCAGGCCAGCGGCGCCATATTTCGGCCCCACGACGCCGACTCGGCGGCGGGACGGGAGGCCAGCGGGCCCCGAGTGGGCGGGGCCTCCGGCGGGCGGAGCTTCTAGCGGACGAAGTCTCAGGGGGTGGAGCTTCGGGCGGCCTCTGGGGCCCGAGGCGGGCGGGCCTTGTGGGTGGAGCCTGGGGGCGTGGCCCGAAGGGGGCGTGGCCCGAAGGGGGCGAGGCCGAGGCTGGCGCCGTCGGAGGAGAGCTGGGATACGGAAGGGGGCGGGGAGCCGGGGGGCGGGGCTGTGCCCCAATCTCCCAGGGTACCCCGCGCCGCCGGGTCTGCGAGGAGGGCGTTGCCCGCTGGCGGAGGCGCGTTCAGTCCCTTTTTCCGTCTCAGCTGATCTCGGGCTTCTGTCCCGGCAAAAAATAGAAACTTGTCAAAAAGAACAAAGCTCTTATAGCGTGAGGGTGCGTGGTCTTGTCTCCTCCAAGGCACAGTTAGGCGCTTGAAATCCCTTAGAAAAGCCAACCCGAGGTTTATTTTCGCAGCTCCGTAGTTCACCAGGTGAGGGTAACAGGTTGGACTGACGCATAGAAACGAGCAAAATGCCACTAAAAGCACGTCGGAGTGTTGGGTTGAGGTCAGGGACGTAGCGAGCGGCGGCCCTCGGCAGCGGCGTGCTAGCGACCTGCACAACCTGCAAGAAGTTGGCTGAGCGCTCGCTCAGTGGCACGCCAGCTCCACGAAGGCCAGTTCATAACCAAAGAGCTTTTCCAAAGTTTCATTCGGCGGAAACGTGAGTTCAGGGCCATCCTTACCATAGCATTGTGAAGCGGGAATTGTTTTCCTTTTGTTAAGAAGTAAAAATAATACCATCATGCAAATTTAAATGATGCAGCCGCTGAAGAAGTACGTACCCCCCGGGGAGAATGTGACAAAGTGTATCATGTTAAATTTGTCTTTGAAATTACACGCCTATAAAAAGAGCCATTGCAATAGGAGGATTCTTATGTGATGTTCACGTAACAGCTGTATAGTGGAAAAAAGAACTATCTAGCTCTGTATGGGCTTCTGGCTGTTCCACTTAGCAGCTTTAGGATGTTGGGCAAGCTCCCCAACATCTCCAAGCCTGTTTCCCTGTCTGCAAAGAAGAGATCATGTAAGGACCCAACAGCATTTGGTACAGTTAGAGCCTTCACAGATACTGACTGCTGTTAACTTGGGTAGGTATTGTCTGGAGTTAGGTAACTAGAGCTACTACCCCCAAACAACTTTTTCTGAACATCTTAGTTTTATCCTCTTCAGACACAGAATAATCGTCATTAAGGCCAGTTACTCAAGGCATGAAGGCATAAAGCCGAGCTTTTATCAGTTTAAGAGTAGTGAACGGAAACTTTTCCCGTTTTCAGGACCCTCCGATATGTTCCAGAGGAATCCAAAGACAAAGTTATCTCAGATGAAGATGTCCTAGGAACATTACTGAAAGTTTTCCAGGCTCTATTCATAAATGATCTCAATAAGCAATCAGATATCTTGACTATGCTTCCAGAAACTGTTAAATCAAACTATCAGGACCTACTGTCAGTTCAACATCCAAGGGTGAAACTGCTTGAATACAGACATCAACAGCAAAATAACTTTAAGCCAGAAGAGATTCTTTATAAGACATTGGGTTTCAGTGTTGCCCGAGCAACTAGCTCATTGGTTTCTGCTGGAAAAGGTGTCTTCGTTACCAGAGGATTGGTACCAAAAGGCGCGGTTGTATCTATGTATCCTGGTAATTGCACAATTAGTGCTTTGCCAAGAGTTCCTGTTTGTTGATTAATATAAGTTCAAGTAAATACATAGCCCTGTAATCCTTCGTGTAAGCAGTTGAATTGGAAACTCAGACTTCCACAATTTTTAAATCTTGATTTGGAAATTAACCATAAATTATTTTATGTGTTAGAAAGCATCCTTGAATATTTGTTGGAATAAATGCACTTTTTACCGAAATTTTTCTAGTCAGTGTTTAAAAATGGAATATAGTATGGCCTACTTTGATAAAAAGAATTACTTAGAAAGCACTGTAGAATAAGTCAGTTGGCTTACATAATTGATAACTAAAGGTAAAAATAGTATGGGTTAAATGCAGGAAAGGTGGAATTTAAACCCATAAATTGGTGAATAAAGACCTTCCTGTCATTTCTACACTTGGGAAGTAAAGCAGCCTCTAGGCAAAAAGACCATTGTCTAGGATGCTCAATAGAGAAAGATGGTATTATTTGGTGTAGCACTTAATATGTGTGAATGTTTGAGTCAGACCAATATTTTCAAAAGGTCATTCTACTATTTTCTAATTTTACATCCCTAAGCAAGAAAGTTGGTTTCCTCCTACACAACTAACCTAACTTTACAAAGACTAAATGGAACAAGCTGGCAACAAATGAATACTAAAACAAATTTGGGCAGCCCCGGTGGCGCAGCGGTTTAGCGCCGCCTGCAGCCTGGGGTGTGATCCTGGAGATCCAGGATTGAGTCCCACATCGGGCTCCTTGCATGGAGCCTGCTTCTCCTTCTGCCTGTGTCTCTGTCTCTCTCTCTGTCTCTGTCTCTCTCTCTCTCTCTCTCTGTCTCTCATGAATAAATAAATAAAATCTTTAAAAAATAAATAAATAAATAAAACAAATTTAATAGATTAGCATGCCTGGTACACAGGACAAGCCCAGTAAATATTTATTTTCTCCTTTCCTCGATTGCCGGTGAAAAGAAAAATAACCTGAATGACAGGCTCATTTGTTCCTGTTTTGTGTACATTATTTGATCGGTTAGTAACAAAATACATTTCTTAAAAGACTTTTTAATAGATGTCAAATCACAGTCTACTTTAAAAAGCAAAAGCAAAACAAAACACCCCCACAACTTTGTAAAACTGGACCTCAGGTGTGGTGTTCACATTTTAATTAAACTAGTCACATTTTATTTGGCTGGGTGAGCAAGTTGGTCCTCTGCTCCATTTACTATTAAGCACTCTTCAAAGGAGGAAAGTAGACAAAGAGAATGTGATAATCTAGGCTGGAGGTGAAATATTAGAAAAAGGTAGAGAAATTAAAACACTTCCTTTCATGTTATGTTTCATCTTATGTTTTTCATATTATGTTTCCTTTCATGTTATGTTTGTTTCAAAGAAAAGTCCATGTTTATGATTTTTACATGTTGCTATCTCTTTATCTTATTGTGTAATAGGTACAGTATATCAGAAGTATGAGCCAGTTTTTTTCCAATCCATTGGAAATGCATTTATTTTTAGATGCCTGGATGGGGTACTCATTGATGGAAATGACAAAGGAATATCAAAAGTTGTATACAGGTAAGTTAGTGCCCATGTTCAAACTTAATATAGGACCACAGCAAGATGACTATGACCACTGGCTTTTTTACTTTAAATAAAAATCTGTTCAAGCAGCTGCTCATTGGCAACTCAGTTGTCCTATTGGCAAGACAAAACTTTTTAAAGAGAAATTGAACTTGTTCGGTTCTAGGGCTAATTTTACACTTTGGGATTTTATTGTAAGATATAAAAGAATAATCCCTAACCAATGCTTTCACCTGTTTCAGATCTTGCAATGGGAGGGATCGACTTGGTCCCTTCAAAATGAGTGATAGTACTTGGCTAACATCAGAAATTTGTAATCCACTGGCTGTAGGGCAGTATGTCAACAATTGTTCAAATGGTAAGTTGGCATCATGGGTCTGTGAGACAGGATATAAATACAGCAGTGCTAATTTTCTTCCTTTGCCCTATAATTGAGTGCCACAGGCAGTTAAATTTAACATCTCAGCTTTTCAAAGCCTGTAAGTAAACTATAACATTCTGGGGGCAGGTAGTAGAGAATTTGGGGAAGTAATGTATACATTAATTGAGTAAGTTACTGTTTTTCTTCTGGTTTTGCAACAAATGTAGACAATTGGTAACTGCTCTTTTGATCATCATTATTTTAGCATTGTTTTAATAGTTAACTTAGAGATCATTTTGTCAGTACTTCAGTCGAGCCTTGTAAGTTAAACTGGTATCCCCTTTCTGCTGCTCCATGTCTGAGTCTCTTATAGGGCTTGACTTTCCCAAAAGTCTTAAGTTTGATTTGGCTACATTTAGCGTAGCTTTTGGTGTTAGGGAGATGTGAACTTGAAACCTGACTCTTCTACTTAATCTTTAACCTTTCTGAGCCTCTGTAAATAATAGGGTCACCTGGGTGACTTAGTCCGTTGAGCATCTGACCCTTGATTTTGGCTCCAGGCATGATCTCAGGGTTGGAATATCGAGCCCCAAGTTGAGACCCTAACTGGGCCCTGAGCCAGGTAGGCAATCTGCTTGAGAGTCTCTCCTGCTGCCTCTCCCCGCACTCACACATGATGTGTGCACTCTTATCTCTAAAATAAATTTTTAAAGAAGTAAATAATAAAACATATAGATAATCTGGTAATGCCTGGAACATATTAGTGATTATTAATTTGAGCATGTACTTCTGAGAAAACCACACATCAAGTGCCATAATTCAGTACTATTTTCCATGACCTTGTAAAATGACTGTTGCTAAAAATGATGTACTTGTTCCTAGACAGAGCAGCTAATGTCTGCTATCAAGAATTTGATGTGCCTGCAGTTTTCCCTATAGAGCTGAAGCAGTATCTTCCAAACATTGCCTACAGCTGTGACAAACAAAGGTCAGTCTTTTTCTATCTCTTATCTTATGCTGTACTTACAAAGCATTTTCCAGGGCACCTGAGTGGCTCAGTCCATTAAAGTGTCTGATTCTTGGTTTTGGCTAAGGTCATGATCTCGGGGTCCTGGGATCAAGCCCTACTTGGGGCTTTGCACTAAGCTGCTAAGCTTGTCTCTCTCCTTTGCTCTCTGCTCCTCCTCCAGGACCTAATATCTCTCTCTCAAATAAATAAACATTTAAAAAAAAGACACATTTTTCCAGAAAAAGCTATATAGAACTGGAGGTAATTTTTTTTAGTCAAAATGTATAACTTAAATTTTGATTTTCATCATACCTGAATGTGTTAATGTAAGCTTATTTAAAATTTAAAATTATCCATTAACTCCATTCATTCTGCTTATTAGCCATCTTTATGTGGTCATTTAAAAGTATCAACCTTGAAAAGATAAGGTATCAACCTTAAAATTTTTTTCGTGATTCTGTGTTTTCTACTTAAAAAAAATCTTCAAATACATTCTTACTTTAATCATTTTAAGGATCATGTTCTTCATCTCACCTGAGAGCACCCAGTTGAAGGAAAAAGCCAAATTACACTATTATTTCTCTTGCCAATTTCATTAGGTTTGGAAACTTAACAATGAAAAAAAGATAAATATTCAGAAAATATGTATTTGTAATGTAATGTTTATTTTCTATTCATTAAATGGAAAGTCTACTGAAAGTATTCGAGTAACAATTTCTAAATATAATTATGTAGAGTATTAACAATGCTATAGGAAGATATAATGTTAATGCCATTGAGCTGCCAGTTGTTAGTAAACTTTATTTTGTATGGGCCCCATTAAATTGTAAGATTAATGAGATTTAAAACAGACTATTTTCTGTGCTTAAAACTTGATAACTTCTATTTGTGTGTATTTGTATATCTAACAGTTTAGTTCCCAAACTGTTAGCCATATATTCTGGAATATAGTGTCATTACTGTTCAACAAGTATAGGAAATGTTAACTGAGTAGAAACATTGAAGGTTATATATGTCTTATGTCCATAAAAGTATTTTTAACTTTAATAAAATATAATATTTTAATAAAAGTATTATTATTTTTTGAGAGGGAGAGAGGGAATCTTAAGCAGGCTCCGAGCCCAGCACAGAGCCTGACACGAGGCTCAAATTGACAAGCCTGAGAATAAAACCTGAGCCAAAATCAAGAGTCAGATGTTTAACCCGTTGAGCCACCCAGGAAACCCAAAATTCCAATAGATTTTAAGTAATGTTTCCAGCTTTGCAGAATACAAAATACAAATTAATTTTAAAGTGCTAAACTATCATGTCATTTCAAAATGCTTTTTGTGATACCAGTTTTGGGAGCCTGAACATAAAAATGTTCAGAAGTAGTCAGTTATAAAAACTTACTGACTTGTGGTCTTTTTAAATGATATGGAATAGACATAATGTACTTTAAAACATAATTAGTTAACTGATTAATTTTTAAAGAAAGAAAGAAGATAACCCCATCAGGGATAATCCTCATGGGAATCAACTAACTTAGACAGTGGTAAGGAATTTGCATAAAATTATGTCTGTAAAATCTGTATTGGTTATATTAAAAATATGAACTTGGATCTGTTAACACTTAGAACTTTTGTATATTTTGCTTTTTGTTTTCAGCCCACTTCGATGTGTCATTCTTGTAGCACTCAGGGACATCAAACAAGGAGAAGAGCTTTTTTCAAATTACTATACAATTGTCAGCTAACTGTGAATTAGAAAGTAGGTTTTCTACTCAGCTGTTAACTCTAAATGTTTTTGTTAATTTTATCTCCTAGTTCCACCTATAGAACAAATATTTTGAGGCCTAATTAGAATGTGAATTTTTTGTTATTGATACTGTGTTTTTGATAAAAGCTATTTGCTTCATTACAACTTCAAATTTGTAATGCAATTTCAATTTTAATTGGCTTTCCCCTACACAGTAGCTTATTAAAACCTACTGCCTGAACTTAAATTTTCAATTTTTCTTTAATTTTGTATATCTTTGTGGTGGTTTATAAAATTTCAGCCAAGCCATCATTTTAACTGTATTTTTATGTAATAAACTAAAGCCAAAAATATATGTTGTGTTATCATGAATTGTGTGTGTATGTGTGATTTAAAGATTGTTTTAGCTAGGTAAGGGGGAATTGCAATTCAATCTTATTTGAACATTCACACACATATATAAAGTTTGAAAGTGAGAGGTACTCTCTCTTTAGCATGGAAATACAGGTAAAAGTGGTGTGAGAGAGACATGTATTCCCCCATTCTCTTATTTCAGTGGGGAGCGCTGACATTAGTGAAGTTCCTGACCTCACTCTCCATCCATTGGAGGAGGAGTGATTTTCTGAGATCCTCTCTGGAGAAGAACTAGGCCCCCATGGTTCAAACCGCTCTAGTTCCTTCTCTGTGGGCTTTCTGCCCAGCCAGTGACAGAGAGTTTGGTTCAGAGGTGGAATATTAGTGAGCTGGCCACAGCTCTGAGGCCACCTTCTACAGTGAGTTTCATTCGTAATACTTACTTTGATCTCCATCCACCTGACTCCTGCATCTAACTCAATTACAAATCTGGATGGAGTGGACGGTTTACTTATTGGACCCCTCCAATCCTAACATGGAACCTGTATAACCAGATTCTAACCACCTGAACAACAGCTTTCCTCTCTTCATTTATTGCAATTTCAATAGCCTTCTAATTGCCCTCCGTTTCCACTCCTGCTACCTCTACGAATGGATCACCAAGAGAGGTTCTTGTAACTCAAATCTTGACCCACCTCTGCTCAAAATCCTCTGATTACCCTTCAGATAGTGTAAGAAATGCCCAAGTGCTTCGCATATATGATATAGTCACTCACCACCTCTTCCCTCATCTCTTGCTCATTCTACCCCAGGCACTTCTCCCTCCTTGCCACTCCTTGAAGCTGCTGGGCGCACTTGCACTTTGGGCTTCTGCACTGGTTTTCTCTGCCATGGTCTTCCCCCAGAGTCACGTGGTTCATTCCCTCCCTCCTTCACCTTGCCCCACCATCCTACTGAAATTTACAATCCCCAACTGCCAGTCCTGAAAATTCCCATTACACTTTCCTTCTTTGTATCAGATTTTTCATGCATGGACAGTAAATGTATATTTGTGACAGCATCTGATTCTTTTTCTCAGCCTCAGTTTTTGAGTCACCAAGATCCTGGGAAAACAGGGAGACTAAGCTTATCACAAAAAAAAAAAAAAAAAAAAAAAAAAAGCCAATCTACTAATCTACTTGACCAAACTTGACCAAGAAGATCCTGTTACCCAGAACCTACCATAAAATACACAAATACTAACTCCTGTGGACACATTTGGGGGGGCTAAAGTATTTAGGAGTGAACTCTTGCAATATTGAAAAATTTAAAACTAGTTCAGGAAAAAAAAAGGCATGTTATATAAGAAAATAACAAGTATGGTAAAATGTCAATTGTTCAATCTGGATTTTTGTTTATTCTGTTCTTTTAACTTTTGTCTTAAAAAGTTTTTCTTTTAAAGGTAGGAGCAAAGTCACCACTAGCATAAGGTGACTTTAGGTCATCATGTTTTTAGTGAATACCTACTATGTACAGGGTCCTGAGTGAGTCAAAAGAATAAAACATGGTCCCTGCTCATAAAATGCTCATGGTGGGAGTATAAAGGTTGCCTAGTGTCATGATTTGGTCTGCACTGGAGAGGTGACCGAATTTTTTTGACATAACATAGATATTTTAAAACAATCATAGATCTTTCTTACTAAAATGATTGTTCAGACTTACATTTCATTTCTGACATACTTCTGAAATGCTTTTATGAGTCCTATACCAGAAAACAACTTTGTGGCAGTACAGGCTTTACCTCTATAATAGCCGTCTCATCAAAACTAAAGTGAATGTCAACTAGTGTATTAAATCTAGGAACACATGAGCACTTTTGGTCTAAAACCACAAATGCAGTGCCCCTGTGCACAGCTTTGTCAGAGAATCCACACACAGAAAAGGAGGATTTGAGAACACCTACCTAGTTGAGAAATCATCAGCAGTCTATGTATGTCCTAGGGATGAGGACAAAGTGTATATAATGAAATACCCAACTTACAGACGCTCTGAGGCCTTTGAGAAGTCAGTGAAGCAGCAAGCTCAAAGCCCATCACTGACAGACATTATGGCCAACAAGGATGTCTGCAAGTCACAAGACATTCTGTTCCTACAAGGCTTTCCTCCCTCCCCTAAAAGCCTGAAGTACTTTGTAACCCTCACATGTTACTTGGCTGCACTCTTGGCTAGATTCAAAGCACTGGTGCCTGTCCCCACCTGAAGGCACTTGTGTTTGTGTCCACCACACAGTCTGCACACTAAGGTTCTGTGGTGGCTGTGCATGAAAGAATGTGGTTTTAGACAAGTAACCAAAGCAGAGGAGTCGGAGGGCTTGCTTTCATTTTATCCTCTTCGTGTCCTTATACAAAATCTGGACCTTATGTGCAATCTGATTACTGCATATTAAGAATGGACTAGAATCTCTCTCCCTCTTCCTCTGTCCCCTCCATGCTCTCTTTGAAATTTTTTAAAAGAACGGACTAGATAAAGCTCTGCTCAGAGCAAATGAAATGGGGACAAATTTGTGAAATTAGGCTAAAACAAGATCGTCAGCTTGAAAAGATGAAGGTTTAGAGAAGATATTTTCTAGTCTACTAAACTATGAATACTATGGATAATAATGACTAATTTACAATATGTCAAATAATGTCTGATCAAGCTTCAGATATGTCTTCCTAAAATACAAAGTTACCTAGAACAGTGTTTGAAACATAATAGACATCCAATAAGTATTTCCTGAATTAAAGTATAATAAGCCTCACTTTGGAATGGCTGCTTCATTATAGATGGAAATTTGTCATAGATGATTTAAAGAAAACTTATTTTTATCTACCAACTTTGACACTTACCTATCATATTTACTACAGCAAAAAACTGAAAAGTTGTTAAGTTTCTACCCATGTGTTATAGCTTAAGATCATTAAATAAAAATTTAATTGCCGCAAATACTCACACGAACCAAGAAAAAAAAAAGATTTCCAGATTTTTATTTCTGGAACTGTACACCAGGTATTAAAGTACAACAAATACAAAATAATGCTCAAAAAAATCAGTGTTTATGTACAAATATTAAAATCAATGCAACAATAGCAACTTCCTCTTGAACATCTGATACTAAAACTTGTTGTGATTGTCACTAATTAATCTCATACTCACAGGGTACTTATTTCAACCTGGGACAATTGGAATCACTGGTCATCTAAGAGGAATTTTTAATATCTACCATATTTAACAATAAAACTAATAGTTTCCTCCTTTTAGTGAAAAAATTAAGAACTTTTTAAAAAACATAGTAATGTCAATATTTTTATAAATTATTTCAATTTCCATTTGTAGACAATGTGCTTTGAAACTCTGGGCAAACAATCTCCTTGGTGGTCAGGTTTATTCATTAGTTTACATTCAAAGTTGAAATATTTACTAGAGACTTTGGTTAAATTAAATAGTATCACTATGCTCTATTAGATCTGACGTTCTCAAATATTTATGACCCTCAATTTTAAAAATTAAAAAGGAAACAATTGCACAATTCTTTGACCTAATTGTACACACTTTAGTATTGTTTAAACAGTATTCTACATCCTTCAAGTAAATTCAGCAGTTGACCATGACAAGAGGAAAACCAAACATTTAAAAAGCTAGCATGGAAAAGATGCAGTACGACCAACAAAAGTAAAGTATTGCTATAATCACAGCACCAGTTACACTTCTAAATGAATCCGCTGTCCTCTTCAAATTCCCTGTACAGAAAAGATACATCAGCCAACAATGCAACAGCTCACCATGGATTTTTGGTTTGTTCATAAGAAAATAATGTGGCAAAAGAAAAAAAGAATTTATCACAGTTTGTTATAAGAATTGTGCTTAACACTTGATAATAAAGGCATTATTGTTTCTTCATAAAATTGCAAATCAGTAATTTTCATGCTCTCAAACGCAATTCTTCTAATAAACAGTAACAAATTCTCTGTTAAGATGCTTAACTGGAGGGGGAAAAAAAACCCAGTAAACCCAGCGTTCAAAAGAAAATTCAATAAATAGCTATTTTACATGGATAAAGTCATAGTGGTACAATTTATGAATGTCACATCAAGCATGCACAAAAATGGTATTATACATGGCAGAAGCAGTCAGAAAATATTGAATTAGATCTAAAAAGATATGAAGAATTTACACATATATATACAAAAATCTTGCAAATTATTGCCTCATTTTAACAAGGAATTAAAAGTAAACGTTACCAGCTAGTTAGCACTCTCTAAGAGGCTAAAATCAGATTGACATTTAAAAATCTATTAAACTAGCTGGAATTTATTTTTCTCTCATATCATTTTCTGGATTTTGGTCAAAAATCTTTATTTAAATAACTAAAGTGTCCATTCAACTTGCTGATAATCAAAACTTTAGATAAGAAACACTGTTTCCATCTTTTATCAAGATCCCAGCAATGCATAGATAAACTGAATATGTTACTGCATCAGCTACTGAGAATGGGCATGTTCATTTAAGTGCAACTGGTATTAGCATTCAGTCATCTTTGTGTAAATTACTTTATACAAACCAGCCACTGTAAACCCAGAGTGAAAATCAAAGTTAAAACAATGGAAGATTATGGCCAGTATCTTACTAAATTATAAAAGGTATACTGATTTTTAACAAAAGAAATAAGGTTCAAAGTTTAGCACAACACCACAGCAATAAGAAGCTGATAACTTGGATAAAAATATCTTAAAGCAACACAGAGCCCAGGCTACCCATTATTTACTGTGTGCATACAGGAATGCTAGACTTTAGATGTATAAATTAGAGACTGATTTTAAGTTATTAATTTAACTACTTTTGTCCACTGTGCTAAACTAAATTTTATAGTAAATATGCTACTGCGTAAACACTTCAAAGCAATCTTCATTAAAATGCTGCAAAGAAAAATAAGAATACACATCATCCAAAACTAAGGATGTCATTGCA